AGTGAGGAGAGTTTGGGTGGTCTCTTGGACAAATCACCCCAAGGGAGAGTTCGGGTGGTCTCTTGGACAAATCACCCATTCAGTTTCCGCAATAGGGTCTGCACGCAAGGGAAAGCGCAAGGGAAAGCATGGCTTTCGCACCGTGGACCGACCTGGGACGGGATCCTACGTGCGGGACCGTAACAAATTGGTATCAGAGCCAAACGTCATGGGCGATATGGAGTAGCTGTCTTCCAAGGTCCACGAACTGGAACACGAACTTGCTGAAACCAGCATGGAGGTTTATGAAGTCAGGGAAGATGTCTGGGAGATGTGACGCCTACTGGAAGCATTCCTCTCCAACAAGAGTTCTGTGGGAATCGCCAACACAAACAGTCATCGTCCGGACTGGGCAGAGTCATTCAGCGAACAACAGATCGCTGCCCCTACAGCCGCAGCTACTCCCAAGGACCAGCGCGCGGAGGATGAAACTATAAAGTCTCCCCCTTTGGTCAGGGACAATATCACGTACATTATAGTAGAACCTGCAGAAGGCGCTCCTAGAGTTATGGTTGCAGCACCACAGTATGGTAACTATGTAGAAAACCAAGAAACAGGAGTGCACAAGAGATGTAAGGTGGAAGGGCAGGATATAGAGGTGACATACTCTCAAGCTTATACTGATGGCATGGATTTTGTGTTCATAGACAACCCTATGTCTCGCAATATTGAGGAAAATATATATGGGGGAGGCTGAGAGGATATGCTAAAACGCATGGGTCCCTTCGGTAAGGCTGCTCTTGAGGTTCCTTTCTGTAAGGATACCCGGTGCGTTCCTGTGAACCACAACATAGCACACCGGGGCCGTGGTCCAGTACGCGATTTTTGTTGTGTGGATCTTCCACAAAACTACTTCAAACTATATGACCCAGGAGGTAGAGAATACTTCAATGTCCTTGCGGTTGGCTTGAGTGCAGCAGAGCATGTAGTCACTATAAGTCAGGGCTACGCCTGGGAGCGGGAAACAAAAGAAGGTGGCTGGGGTCTGCATCAAATAATCCAGCGTGATGCACTAAGAGACGGGGCAGTCCCTGTTGTTCATACTGTTGGTGGACTGAGAAATTGTGTGCAGCCATTTGATCCATTCATAGAATCCCAAGCCATGTATCCAGAACACGAGCTTGAGGACAAGTTCGTAGTCCGGGAGGGGTGTAATGTTATGGTCACACCATCCGGCGACGCACCGCGGCGCAGTCATAGGTAGCAGGCCGCACAGCAGCAGGCACTGCCTGGCAGCGCCGCACGGCAGCATGCACCGTGCACACACCCAGCACCGCACAACAGCGGCACCATGGTGTGCAGCACGCACCGCCAGGCAGCAGCG